TGTCGTGTACACAAAAAAAGAAAACCAGTTTGCCGCACCGCATGCTTCTTCGTTGCGCGCAGGCGTGTCCTGTGATCGGCACCTCTCCCTACCCACAGAACCTCCACGGTACCTCCACAGGACCTCCACAGGAGGTCTGATCGCTTAACCGCGCATTAGTTCGCCCCGGGGCAAACAGCCACGCCCCCCCTCAGTTTCCTGCCCGTGTGACCAGAGCCATTGTATCTCAAATCAGCCTGCTATCCAGAAAAAAAGCTCCATGAGACAGAACACATAAAAATCAAACCAATAGAGTTTTTTTACTGACTTCCTATTTTAATATGGTTTTTCATGGCCCTAAGCAACCTATTTTCTTGGCAGTATATTCCATGGGATCCAATGAAACTGACCTGAATAAACAGGACTAGGACCAGGCAGTATAGCTTTTTGAGCTGATCAGCTCATGAGAAACATGTGGCTTCTGGTAGACACTGGGAAGAGTCAGTTAATATTACCGGGCTCCTTCTCCATTCTGTATTCATTACCTGTTGACAATGGCTGCTTGCCAAACTCCTCTTCACACTTCCCTGCCTTTACAAACCACCAGCTTTGTTTGAACATCTGTCTCATGTAAAAATCACGTCAAGGTATTATGAACTCTTAAAGCACAAATCACAAGAGATATACCTGGCATACTAGCCAGCCCTTGCCCAGTCAAATTGTGTATACCTTTACTTTACAGATAGTCCTACTCATTTCAGTGAGACAGGAATAAATTGGAATTAGCTTTGACATTTTGTACCTGCAGAAATAGGAATTGCCCAGAGTGTGCTTGTTGTCTCTTTCTTCTCTGTAAGTACAGGTTTTTGCAGGATGATGGATCTTGGGCAATTATTGCTACTATGTATTGATATAGAACAAGAGATACTTGTTCTAAACTCGGTGTCTCTGGCAAATAGTCCTACATTTGGGGCTATTATTGGCAGCTGGCTATAATAAGAACAATATTAGAAGCAACATGAACACTGTCTGAATTAAATAGATTGCTGCTTTGAAAATTAAACTTGCCTTTTTTCAAAGTAATATGTTCAGCAATAATCATATGAGTCCCGTCCCCCCCCCCCCGCCAGTACTTGCTGGGGATTTGCTTTTTTTCATTTGTATTCAGAACAAGAATGAATGGAAAATGTTAAAACCAATGCCAAAATGCAAGGCTACAAGAATTAAAATGACAAATCCTTTTATATTTACTGAGGGCATAAGAGCATATTAAATTAGAACAATATCAGTACATCCAACAGAGTGCAGTGCTGTTCTTCAGTTAGTAATGCAGAATGTTGCTCAAACATGCATATTGTGCTAGTTAGAATTGCATGCTTCATAGTGAGAGAGAATAGCTTAAGCATATGCCATTAGTCTCAAGAATCCTTTTCATTCTTAATTCTGTAACAAGATGTTGGTGAGTGTATTCATGTTCCATTGGAGGTATTCTGATTTAATTGACAGAATATTGTATTAGATATTTGAGATCACTTCAGAGGTCATTTCGGGGGGGGAACGCGGGGGAACACAGTTCCCCCGGGTGAGGTGCAGGGGGGCGGGGCACATGACGAAGCCCCGCCCCCTGCTTCCGGCCGCCCCGCTTCCGGCCCTCATTCAGCCAGGAGGAGGCAGGAGAAGAGGGAGGGTAAGTTGCTTCCTCCCCGCCTCTCCCCACCCCTGCCTGCCTGGGGCCAGGGAGGGCCTTGGCGGGGCTTCCTCGCACTCCCGCTGGCCTTGCAGGTCCACCGCCGGGCCCCTGATGTCAGGGGGTGTGGCATATGCTAATGAGTTATGCTAATAAGTTCCCCTAGCTCTTTTTCTACGAAATGACCCCTGGATCACTTAGTGTTGATGGCACTGGAATAGCCACTGTGTATCCCATAACCGGAATTAGTGAATATCAGTTATTTTATCAGGGAAATGTTTCTTGAGTAGCACTCTGAGGTTAACATTTAAATGTCCTAGCCCCACTGGTGGACCTCCTGATGGCACTGGTATTTCTGGCCACTGTGTGATACAGAGTGTTGGACTGGATGGGCCTTTGCCCTGATCCAACATTGGCGTTTCTTATGTTCTTATGTTCTAAATATGTTTGTGTTGGTGCAGTTACTTCAGAATGGATAAGGTTGTTAAGATACAACCACATTTAACACTGAAACTAAATTGAAAGTTCAGCACTTAATATTATCTGTAGAAATGTGTTTATTTTTGAAGCATAAAGGCTGTCACATAAAATCTGCATCGGATTCAGTCTTAAACTTGGCTTCTGATATGCAGTACAACAGCCAATTAGTACTCCATATGTTATTGTTTTATGTAATCTACTCTCATTCCTTCTCATCTAATTATATTTGCACTTTTGTCTCTGGGCAATGTATTATAGATATTTCTGAGGGTGCCCTTTGAGACACGTTTTAAATGTCTTACTTATTTCTTATATTTGAAAGCAGTTCCCACTGATTTACTTGCACATAAGCATGCTTAGAAAGCAATTCCATGCAGGTCTACTCAGAATCCTACTCAACTGTATTTGGGGCTTTCTCCCCGAAAAGTGTTTTTACAATTGCACAGTTACAGTTTCAGCTTTACCTTAAATATCTGTTGTAATACCTCTTTTGATATACAAATATCAATTAATGCCCTATTTAGGCAATTATAACTTTACATTTACAGAGGAGCTGTGGTGGCTCAAGTGGTTAAGACACTGAACTGCAGGCTGTGGAAGGTCAGTAGTTCAGCAGTTCGAGACCCGAGTGTGCCGCATGACAGAGTGAGATCCCGTCTCTAGTTCCAGCTCCTGCCAACCTAGCATTTCGAAAGCAAGAAATTGCAAGTAGATAAATAGGTACCACTTCAGTGGGAAGGTAACAGCATTCCGTGCGCCTTGGTGTTTAGTCATGCCGGCCACATGACCACAGAAATGTCTTTGGACAGCGCTGGCTCTTCGGCTTTGAAACGGAGATGAGCACCGCAACCCTAGAGTCGGATTCGACTGGCTTTCAAGCAAGGGAACCTTTACCTTTACCTTAACTTTACATTTGGGGACTAGGTGCTTGGATTACAGAATACCATTCAAGAATTTAACAACAACTATTGGTTTTATCAGTGTTAATGTTTTCAGTACATTTGTTCTGTGAGGGTTGCAGTACATGACTTCAGATGGTTTAATCAGTTTTCTTTTCGCATTATTTGTTCTTAAAACAATAGCTTAAAGGGGGACATTTGAATGGTTCTATCATGCAATTGATTGCTTGTCCACCATGGTTTATGGAATTTTGATTTTTAAGACTTATGTGGAAGAAAAGTCATACAAATCTATTTTTATTAATTTCAGTAATAAAGGTGACATCACATAATGCAGTGAACTGGATATGCTAAGTAAGGCAAGTTCAGAAACTGAGTAACCATCCACATCCAGCATTTGAGGACCCAGCCATAATAAATATAAAAATTATGACACATGAAAACAAAATAATGCAGTGAAAAAGAATGACACAAAATTATGTCTTTTACCACATATTTCTGCTTGCTTGTGTGTGCAGCTGTCGGTTGAGAGAATGTGCCACATTTTGGACTGCCAGGAATGTGCACAAAAACTTGCAAAACTTGTAAGATGCCAAAAAAAGTATGTAAACTGGAGCCCCCTCTACCTTTTGAGCTGGAGACCGAGGCCAAATGCCCCTCCTGCAATGCCGCACCACCCCAAACCCCCTGCTGCATTTGTCCTGCCTTGGAAACAAACTTTACTCAAATAAGATGGCAGCTTGCAAATGTGTTTTTAGGTTTTATGGACTGAACTCCTTTAGTCTTGGAGAAAGTGATCCATATTTGACAGTACAACAGTGTAATCCTAATACTAACAAACTGAATGAAAATTCATGTGGTTTATATCTCGTAAAGAAGAGAAAAATATGACTTTTATGTGCTCAATCTAAAATATTTAGGCCACAATCCAGCCAAAGTTAAGTGTTGCTAAATTTCATTTTCAGAGAGTTAGAGAGCAATCTTAGGAAGGTCTAATCAGATGTAAATTCCATTTTATTCAATGTCTTACTTCCAGGAAGGTGTTCTTAAGATTGTAGCCTTAATTATGTACTGAACTCGACGTCTCAATAGTTTCAATTTGTTGCAGATCCAATCTTTTCATTTTTAATTGATGCATCATATTGCAATAGTTAACATACAGATGATTGTTGACTTACCCTCTTCTAACTAAAAGCCTCAAGAGACTAAAAATAACAATATTCAGTCCTGAGAATGGCTTGCAATAATTTCCATGACCTTTGAATCAGTAATTTACATTTCATGTTACAGCTGAATCTTTGCCCATGTACCATAGTTAAGCACCATAGATTGGGGTGCCATGCAGTGAGTTTGTAAAAATTAAAGCAAATGTGCCTCTCAAGGAGTGCTACGCTTCCCAGATGTGCTGGTGAGATCGCGCCCGGAAACTCCGGCTGTTTTCCGTCTCACTTGTGTGGCTTCTGTTACGTGTGACCGCAGCCATAGTCTGGTTTCTGAAAGTCCTAACAACAAAAATTTGCATACACTGATCTCATTTCAGAGTATTGAACTAAAGCTTAATCCTGACATGATGAAAGACCTACTGGTGACCAGAAGATATGACCAGAATGGGTGACACGTTAAATCCTGGTCAGATCTTCTGTTCACCAGTAGAACTTCTGTCAGGTCAGGATTAAACTTCAGTTTAGAGCTTTACATACAGTCCAAAATAAAATAAATTGGTGGTGTGGGGGGAGGAGGCAGAAAACACAATTTTGAGGGATCTGTGGATTGACTACAGGCTTAACTTCTAACTAGTTTTCATTTTTCATTTTTACAGTCTCCATTTCCATTTTTTGTTGATATGAAAATACATTTCAATGAATGGACCCTCCTGCATATGTTCTAGTTATGAGCACTGCTGTGGATTTGGTAATGATCCTAGTATTTTCTTGTGTTTTCTCTCTCTTTCATAGTCACGACCCATCCCTTCACACCTTACTTCAGCAGTAGCAGAAAGTATCTTGGCATCAGCCTGTGAAAGTGAAAGCAGAAATGCAGCAAAAAGAATGCGACTGGATCGACAGCAGGTACCTGATATATGGGGGAGAGGGAATCATTATTCAGAACTGAGGAATATGCACAGCCTTGCAAAAGCTCTTGCTAGGAGAGAGGAGTGAATGCTCTGTGGATTCTGTTACATGCTTTCAATCTTTTCAGGAGCGTAGTGAAGCATTAGGCTGGAGACAAGTATATCCTAGTTCAATGGGATTTACTCCCTAGTAAGTGTTCTTTGGCTCTTCAGAGGAAGGCAATGGCTAACTATGTCTGCTTCTCACTTGCCTTGAAAGCCCATTGCTGGGGCTGCTACAACTTTACACACACGTTCTTTGGATTCTAGTCTTCGAATTTTATATTCAAGTCCCTCTCCGGGGTCCATTTATATGTTTAAAGTAAGAAAGCTGGCAGACACATGATTTGGGGTTCTCAGATAACATCTAAAACAAGCATCAAGCCAAATGCAGTCTACCAACCATTGCCTCACAGTCAAGTAGGGGTTCAACACCTAGCTGGGCAAAAGTAACAGGATTGTGAAATACCCAGAAGAAGGCTACTGAGCTGCAATCATTTTTCTGGGTTACGTTCTCGATCCTAATCTAAACCTCTAAAGCTCATGGGTCTTATCACTGGTAATGGATGTAATTTCCCGTATTGAATGTTGCATTCAAAGTGTGAGCAGAGGGAACTTTTGGTTTATGGCGACATGCTAGCAGACACGTCTCCCGGACCTCCCGGGGAAGCAATCCACGCGCCAGCGGTTGAGAGGGGGGATGATTGTTCACCACCCCCCGGAGCCTTTGCGAAGGGCTCCTACCCATGGGGCTTCTGAAGGTTGGCCTCTTTGCCAGCGCATTGCTGGGGAATTGAGGCGCTCTTCCACCCCAACGGTCCTGCCGTTACTGCATCCATAATGGAACCAGAGCCACTAACCGGGACAAGTGTTGGAGATCGGGTGTATAAAACATACCTTAAGTGAGGTCTTCGGACCACCAATGAGCAGTGAGTCGAGTTAAAGCAAAATGCCGGGAATTTAAAAGAAAGCCCCCTGGGAATGACGAGCGAGCAGAGGAGGGGCCCCTCCCATATGCCTAAATAGAACAGCAATTTTCCAAGGGGGGGCTGAAGCAAAAGCATTGAAATCTGTTTTTAAAAATCAACCAGAGTGCCAATAAGCGTTTGGGCGAATTTCAGAGGCTTCAGCAAGCTCTTATAAAAGTAAACAATCCAGAAACATGACGTGGAAAAAAACCCGGAGAAAGACAAACAAGCAAAAGTGGAACCACCGGGAAGCATGAGCCCCCGACCGGAAGATATCACAGAGTTTTCTAAACTGTTGGCAGATTCTTTGTGCCCTCTACTGGACCAGATGACAAATATCAATCAACAGCTGACAGCTTTAAACCAGAATCTTGCAGCTCAGCAGCTCCAATTGACTGAAACTACAAAAACGACTGAGAAAGTGAAGGAAATGGATGTCAAAGCTAAAAAGGTTAAGAAAAAGGTTCAAATGCTGGAAAAGAAGCAAGCTTCAGATGAATTTCAACTTTTGCAGCTGCAAATGGAGAAAGCTAACCTAGTCCTCCGGTTCCAAGGGGTCCCAGAAGCAAAAGAGGAGAATCTAAAACAACATTTGAGCATTGCACTAGCTCCAGTTACAGATTTAAAAGCGGAATATCGTGTAAGTGAAATGGATGTGGTTTACAGAGCCTATTCCATTTATATCAAGAAAAATAATCTGCCTGGGGAGATAGTGGTTAGATTCTCGAAGAGACATGTGAGGGATCAAATCCTGAAAGCAACTACAGGAACGCCCTTGAAAATTGGAGGCAACACCATCAGGATTCTAAGAGACATTCCATTTGAAATAAGGAAGAAGAGGAAGGAGTATAAAGATTTGATTCTGTTTTTACAAACAAACAGCATTCCCTACAGATGGTTCATCCCCGAAGGCGTCATTTTTTGAACTGCAGGACAAAAAAGAAAAAATGGACTCTGTTTCCAAAGCACATGAGTTCCTGAGACTGCAACTAGGAGAGTCAGGTGAGGATGGCAAGAAAGAAGAAGACAGCAAACTTAGCGATTAAATGGACTCTGCTACTTCCGACAAGGACTCTGCTTCCGAAAAGGGAGCGACAGCCCCCAAGCGAGAATACCAATTGAGGATTAGAAAAGATAAAACAAAATGAAGGCTGAAGAACTCTGAATTATGCCTTGAAGTTTTTAACGATGCTGTTGTGATTTTCTTTAAACAGTTTAATTAATGGTTTTAAAGATAAATAATATAGCTTAATCGACCATGTTCAATGTAATCTTAGCATTTTAGACTAACACTGATACAAGCTTTTGTAATGATCTCATATACTTGGGTTTTTAGTGGTTTCCTTTCCTTTCTCCCATAGTTGTAATTCCCCCTCCCCTTTTTTGTTGTAGTTTATAGAAAAATGCAATAAAAATTCCCCTTCGGGTGGCAAAAAAAACACCTAAGTGTGAGCAGAGCATATCTGATTCAATTCTCATGTCTAGTGTGTAATCCTAGGAGAAGCAATCATGTCTCACCCTCAGTTCTTCATCTGTAGAATGGGAATAATACCAACCTGACCCCCACACACACACACACAAAAGGAATGTCTGACAAGCTCTCTTTTTGTAGCATGAGATGTTGACTCACTCTGCAGCAGTGGTAAAAAAAACAAATTCTATGCTAGGGGTTATTTAGAAAGTGATTTGAAACAAAATGTGTGTGCATTTGGGACAACCCATAGAGTTCACATTGCCATATCTCAACAAAGACATTGTATTGCTAGAAGGCCCAGAAAAGGCAACCAAAATGATGAAAGGTAAAGGCTAAGGAGTGTAGAGCTTTTTAGTTTGGAGAACTAAGGGAAGCATGATGCAGGTTTTTAAATGATGGTGTACAGCGAGTGGAAAGAGAATTTTCTCTCACTCTCTTTTCAATCAAAGAGTAAGTTACTTGTGGGATTCACTGCCATAGTTTGTAGTGATGGCTGCTAATTTAGTTGGCTTTAAAAGATAAATTCTTTTTAGAGAATAAATCTGTCAATTGCTCAAAGTGGGCAGCCATATTGGTCTGGAGCAACAGAACAAAGTTAGAGTCCAGTGGCACCTTTAAGACCAACTTCAAGGTGTGAGCAGGGGTCATTGGGGGGGGGACGCGGGGGGACGCCATCCCCCCGGGTGAGGTGCGGGAGGGCGGGGCTTGGAGCTCCCTGCTGGTGCCCGCTGGAGGTCGCCACCGGCTGTGGGGAGGACACACTTCCGGTGATGTCAGGGGGTGTGGCATATCCTAATGAGTTATCCTAATGAGTCCCCCTAGCTCTTTTTCTACGAAATGACCCCTGGGTGTGAGCTTTTGTGTGCAAAGCACACTTCGTCAGACAATGAAATGGAATTACAGATTAGACTTGTATATACACAGGGTCAGGGAGGTGTCCTGCTCAGACGCTCTTTGCAGAGCTCCGAGGCATTAAGGTCTTTCTTCTTATCTTTTGGATTTGATTTGTCTCACAGAGTTACTCTCTAACTTATAATAGTGTGTTAGGGTAGCCCGTTAGCCTTGTAGTTCAGACAGTTTGTTTTGTTTATAGATAAGACTTAAAGAGGACATCGGCAAATGCTGGAGCTGCAGCTGTAAATCTTTTTAAAAGTTTCCAATTACAGAGAGACTAGCTGCTGCAACCTTCTAACATTGTGTGCTGTCTTACTGCTGCCAAAATGACTAAGAAAAGAAATAGAAATGACTCAAACTCTGGCTCTCTGGTAACACCTTACAGTAAATCTTCAAAGCAGCTTCACATAGATGATTTTCTAAATGACAGAGCTCTGTGGAAAGGGATTCCTCCTTTGGAAAACAGGTTCAGTGTTTCGGAGCTCTCAGAAGACCTGAATCCCTCTAGTTCCTTGCAAGTTCCATTTCTGAATAATGAGGCCTTTGCTCAAAGTGTGGGAGAGACTGCTATTCCCCACCAGGAACCTACTCTGAATTCAAGTCCTCTAAATTCTACAGCTTTAAGAGAAAACAGGGAAACCTCAAAAGCAGACTTAATTAAATTGATTGGTGATCAGTGTCTTCTTACGGCTGAGACAGTCATAGCCATCTTCCAACCACTAAATATATCAACCAATCTGGCCAGTCTGGAAAATTTACTTAAGAGAAATCTGGAAGGAGGCATGCTACATCCAACAGCATCAAAACACTCATCCAAAGGAGAGGTTGGTTCTAAGCTACCGCAAAAGAAAGACTTTAATGCTGCTCCTTGCCATAAAGTTGCAGATCAGTCCTCCTCAAAGGATTTTCTGATATGGAAAAGTTCTCAAGTTGCCCTGGAAATTGCTCAAATTGCAGTAAATGCAGGCCGCTGGGACAGTAGACAAGAAGTGATTTTCTCATTATGCCATTTATTGAGGCTGGAGACAGATGAGGTTGATTTGGAACAAATTGAAAGACTTCCTAACCATCCCTCAAGTAGAAGACTGGTTCTTCTATTTCGGCAACCTACTATCCCACGGATGCTGCTCAAGACGAGAGGCTTCTTAGATACATTTGGCATTTGCCCAATTAGAGTATTCCAGGACCCAAGAAAGAGCCCTCTCTTCTTGTGTGGCCGTGGCTGTGCTCCATTTGATAAGGGCTCGCAGAAAAAACAGCATACACAGGGTGGCTTGTTAAATTAGTGAAGTGCAAAATACTGAAGTGTTTTTTAACAGATAAAAAGAATGACAAGCTTGGTTATCATCTGTTTGGGTTCAAGGGAGGGAACAACATAGGTAATAAATATGTCAGAACTGGAGATTGATGTACCCCAAATTGTGAGAGAATTCAGTCATTAGATCTTATCCATCTCCTTTCTAGCATGGAGGCAAACTTTAAAGCATCTTGGCTTTGTAGAGTATTTTTCTTGTCCCCAGAACAGAAAATTACATTTAAATCTACCATTCCAAATTGTATTACATATTCAATTATATTCCTAATTGTTAAGAGTAGTAAATTGAGATTTTTTAAAATAACATT